TTAACACCCACTTCGTCTTTGTTTTTAATTCAAGGGTACGAAACAATAAACGTTTGGTCAAGAAAACGTACCATGAATAAGCAATGAAAGAGTCTTTCACTAATAAGTTGTAACACGTGTATTATTACCCCTTGCATCAGAATCAATACAGTTTTTCCGAGGAATCCGTAATGGTATGAAATAAAGGCAATTACCATCAGAAGCGATTTTCACATGATGAATAATCTAATAACGTTGACCGTCAACTCAACTTGCCGGTATAATGACGTGCCATTACGAAACCACTCGAGATTGTGCAGAGTGCAGAGGATATATAATAATAATGCGACAGAAGTGAATGGAAGGTGCGCAAATAATTTGTCTTAATTGGTCTCTCTCTCTTTTTAGTTGGGAACAATTAAGCACTTAGTGCGTATTTGTTGAAAGTTGGTAAAGCGTGCCCCGTGTGCGCGAGGAAGGTGAAATTATAAGTCTTTTGTCTGAAGAAAAGCTCGTTTGTTATAAAAGAAAGTTTCGCTAGGAAAATTATGAATCGATTATATTTATTTAGAACACCTGGAGCATTCATATCCATCAATGTTTCACATAAATCTTTCAAAATTTATCGCTGTAATTCTGTTCAAACAAATTTAGTACAAATCTTAAGAAACTTGAGTTTTCTTAATTGTTTTCTTTATAAAATAATAATTTTTAATTTGTGCAAATTCATTTGATTCAAATCTTGTTTCTTGAATTTCTGAGTTTTTACCATAAAAATAATAATTGTTAAAATTATGAAACGTTCATCAAATTATTGATTTTGAATTGAAAAGTAATAAACTTTTAAATCAATATTTTAACTAAATAATTTCCAACTTTTCATTGCAGAAACAATTTAATGTATCAATAATGATTTAATTCACATTTCTTAACTCTCTTTGTTTCGAAAATTCATTATGAACAATTTGTATTAAATTATTTCAATAAATTTCACTTGATTTTTAACTGTGTTTCAATAATAAATGTCGAAATTATAAATTAAGTCAACGTTATTTGATTTCCATATTTCGAAACGTGTATAAGTTTATTTTTTTTGTCTGTATTTGGTTACGTAACATTCAGTAAATCCGTACGTAACATGCATACAAACAAATAATGTAGGTGCATGAAAACGCAACAATTTATTGCAAAATATTAAAGAAAAATAATTATATAATAATTAATAAAAAAGTGTAATTAGTTTAATGATTGTTTTCTTAATTCATTTAGTTTTTCATGATTATAAAACTTTGAACCAACAAAAATTAGTTAATAAATTCATATTAATAATTAAAAAATTAAAATTATTATTAATAAAATAATAAATGTTGAATTTCTAAATTTAACGTTGATTTCCATATGTCGAAACATATACATTTTTTATTATAAGTTTCGCAACGTTCAGTAAGTCTGCACATAACATACATATAATAATATTAATAAAAATGTGTGTGAAAGCTATAAAATGTGTTAATTGCAATCCATAAAATCGTTTTTGGTCCGAAAATCAAATAAATATAAATTTATTGCAATACGCAGAAACTATAAATTATGTAACACTATAAGCGTATTGAGACAAGAATTTTAAGTTATAAAAAAATAACGCAATTGCGCAAAAATTCTAAGAAAATGATACGTTTTGTGTTGAAAATTATTCAAAACAGAAAAAAACGTTTTTTTTTTATATATTTTAAGTAAATTTAAATGTTTGTAAAAATCAAATTAATTTGCTTGCTAAGTTGTGAAATGTTACAAATTTATTTCTAAATTAAAGAAATAAAAGTTGAATATTCTAAAAATTGTTTGCAAAATCAAAGAAATGAATAATTAATAACATTATTATGTGATAATTTTGTTAATAAACTAAATATTAATGAAATTTTTTATTTTGAGTGAAAAACATTGTTTTTTTTTTCAGTGTATTGGATTATGATACAACATCAAAAAGTATAATATTTTGATGAAATTTTCCAATTGAGGCAAAAATATAATAAGTTTTTATATTAAATTTGATTATGATTTCTAAATAATTTACAAAAATGTAAAATGTTTCATTTGAGAGAAAAAAAATAATAAGTTTTTCATTTGAGGTAAAAATATAGGAGGATTTTGTATTAAATTATTATCAAAATAAAAACGAATAAAATATTGATGAAATTTTTCATTTCAGGCAAAAATATACTAAATTTTTGTAATAAATTTGATTATGATTACAAAATTATTTATAAATACAAAACTTTGAAAATATTGATGAAATTTTTCATTTGAGGCAAAAAAATTTTTTTTTGTTCTTAAGTTGACTATGATATCTAAATTATTTGCAAAATAAAAAAGTATATAATGTTGATGAAATGTTCAATTTGAGGCAAAATGTATTCAATTTTTGTTGCAAATTTGGAACATCAAATTGTAATAAAATATTGATGAATATAATAAATTTTTGTAATAAAATTGATTATAATTACAAAATTATTTACAGAATCAAAAAGTATAAAATCGTGACAAAATTTTCCAATTTATTCAAGAATTTAATAAGTATTTGTAATAAATTTGACTGATTTCAAAAGTATAAAATTTTAGCGAAAATTTCTAATTCAGGCAAAAATATAATAAGTTTTTATAATAAATTTGATTATGATTATAAAATTATTGCCAAAATGAAAATTAATAAAGTATTGATAAAAAAAAAATATTTAAGGCAAAAATATACAAAGTTTTTGTAATAAATTTGTCCATGATTTCTAAATTATTTAAAAAAATCAAAAATTATAAAATTTTGAAATTTTTTTACATTTAAGACAAAAATATCATAAGTTTTTGTATTAATTTTGACTATGTTTACATTCTTTTTATGCATAATCAAAATTGATGAAATTTTCTATTTGAGGCAAAAATATAAGAAGTTTTAATAAAAATGTATAATTTTTGATGAAATTGATTCAAAAGAGTAACTAAATTTGTCTATAATTTAATAACAATTTGCAAATTGAAAGGAAAACAAATCTAATACATTTTTACACTAAATTTGGCTATGATTCAAAAATAGTTTGCAAAGAAAAACTGCAGAATAAAATGAGAAAACATGTTATGATGTAGGTTGTTGTACATCCATGAATAGCTTTAGCCTGCTTTGATCTCACCGCCTGTTATTAAAAATAACCGTGAATCGATAACTATAAAAATAGAAAATTGTTCTATTGGGGGCAATAAAAAGTTCAAAAAAAAGGGTGAAGTTGTTGAGGCTTCACCGAAAAGGCAACAGGTATTAAAATTAACATTTTTATGGGCATCTCCATTAAAACTAGTCGTAAATTTAAACAAGAATCGAAATCAATTTTAATGCAATTTCATTAATGTGTTTTATGTACTTACTAATAATGAGATTTAGATAAATGCAGTTGAAGATGTATAAATAATTAGTTTCTGCATCCAACTTAACGCGGAAGAGATAATAAAGCTTATGACCCACATAGATAGAAGAAATGATCTGAAGAAGCAAAGTTTTTGGTCGGATTTAATTTGTATGCGATGCACGTAAATAAACGTCGGCACGAGCTGCGACGAATAGAATTTTAGATGTGTTTCGTCGTCCATTCATAGATGAAAGGAGAATGAAGAGAGACGGATCCATCTTTGAGCGAGGGATAAGGCAAGAAGGTTTATGTGACCGAAGGCAGGTATTTAATCTTTTGGAGACCTAACGTTGGTGTCGTATGTTGCGGTGGTCAGTGGTTAAAATGTAAATTACGTGTGGATAGAGAGGAATGGGTCTTGTATTCATCCATCCACATCCAACATCTAACCAAGGCTTTCGACCATCTCTCCAAACGCACCACGTCCACGCTCTATATGGAAACTTTCAAATCGATTCGATGCATTCAAATACACCTTAATGAAGCACTGAAATATTTATGGGAGACGGAGGAGAGAAGGAAGAAAAATTATACAAAAAAAAAGAAGGAAGGAGTAAACGTAATATTGAAATAAACCACTGGGAAACAGCACGTTCCGCGATTACGCAATCAATTATTCTATATTGTTATAGATAAAACTTAAATTTGTTAGATTTAGTTGGTAACTTAAAATTTGTTTTATGATATAATTTTGTGAGAATGTAAGATTTAAATGTTTTCAAAATTTGTATTTTTACTTTAAGTATAAAAATATGTTAAAATTGTTTTGATTTTTCCAAATTTTATAGAATTGTTTAACAATATTTTGGTTAATTAATAAATCATGAAAAAAAATATGAAAATATCAATAATTTAGAAAGAAACTTAGTTTATTAAAAGTTAATTATACTTAGTTAATAAAAATTGAATAATTATAAAAAAATATACAAAAATTTTGTAATTTGTTTCTAATTTCTATAAATTTAGATTCGAATTTATTTACTAGCAATTTTATAAATTAAATAATTTAAAAAAAAAATCAAATTTGAAATGATCCAATTCTTTTTCAATTTTGTATTTAAATCATATTAATATGATGTTATGAATTATAGTAGTAAACTTTGACCTAGTTTCCTTACATAATCAATAATAAATGAGTCTCTTTGATTGCTTAAGAATAAGTTAAGAAGTTTGTTGAAAACTTTGCAGTTTTTACTAGAAAACCTTGTTTTATTATTAATAGGAAGTAAAAAGAAATTCGAAGTTGCATTTGGTTCGCGTGTAAATATTTACGAAACAGAGACAATTCAGGTTTGCGGCGCGAGTTTTAATTCGGACGAAGAATGCAAACAAACAATGAAATCCCGAAAATACGAACAGTGAAATTGGGAAACTGTAACGATTTAAAAATACATCTACGAATGTTTCACGAATTCCTGAATTCTCTTACTTATGTTGGAATACAAACTTTATAAAGATTAAATTGAAAAGCGTATTTTCATAAAAGAAAATACTTTTGCTATTTGTATAAGTATACTTTATAAAGTTTAATATTTTCAGAAATATATTACAAATTGAATGAAAACTTACCTTTTTATTTGGTCAAATTGAATAGTTATATAAATTCCAAATCCGAAATTGCGATCACTGAATTATGCACACACTTTTTTTTGTCCGAATGTTATTTGTAAAAAGTGATACTAGTAATAGTAACAAATTTGTAATGTAATATTATGGGAGAGAGATTGAGAACTGTTTAATGCACACTCTCTATTATCGTCGTTCGTGTAAGTAATTGCAGATTTAGATCTAGTCGACTTCCGTATCCGGTCTTTTGCGATCTGTCTCTTGCGGTAGTCTGGTGTTAAACTGAGCGCTCTTCGTAAAGTCTCTGCTCCAACCACTTCTTTCGCTGGTCTGGTCGTCTTTCGCTTTGGTCTGGGAGAACCCGAAGACTGGACTGGATGGTATTACTACTATGAACTAACTACTACCGCGTCCCGAAGTGTCGGCGTCGACCGATACTCACTTTCTGCTCTATTCTGCCCCACTTGCAACCACTGGACATCCTTCCTCATTAATCCGCGCCGTAATGGATCTACTAGATGAAGAACAACAACACCGCTACCATCATCAGCATCATCAACATCCAAAACTGACGATTATGCAATAGTTTTTATCATCCTTATAAGCGTTCTTCATTGACGCGTTTGCACCTCTTGCGAATAGTGAAAGTAAACCGCATCCCATAACATTGTAGCACTCTAGACAATTAAATTTTTGTTTTAGTGTTCTTCAATTAACATACGGTTAATCATTTACCTTTGTTATTGTGACACACATATGATTTTGAAACGAAAATTTCATTTTTTTTTATTTACTCTTTATATAATCGTATAGTTTTACTCATAAATCAGTTGTTAGAAAATGTTTGAGTAAAATATTTTCATTCATAGTTTGTTTACTTTCAGAAAATTTAAATATCATAAACAAATTATTACATTAAATTTATATAAAATTGAAAGTAATCTTGTTTATTTCACTTAATTACTTAGCTTTTGTGTAATTCTTCAATTTATATGAATTAATACCAAATGATAGACTAAGTTTCAGTAAAATATCTGGCTTTTTAAAGAAATTGTTGTGCTTTCATAAAACAGAACCATAAAATTATACTTAAATATTCACTTTAATTATGTTTTTATTTGAATATTAGTGTACAATTTATTTCATTAAATCAACTATCAAAAAAAAAACTAAATTAAAAATTATTTAAACAAATTCCATAATACTTATACAAAATTTGAATTTATACACTAAAATATTATATTTTATTTCAATATTAATGCAGAATTTATTTATTTTATTAAATCTACAGGTTGGACCAATTTGCAATTCAAACCAACTTAAAACTGCTATAACTATTGAACCGTTGGCAATGTTGTGTCCATATTTCGCCTAATGATAGCTGATTTTATTGTTTACAAGCCTGCAGAAGCATTTTCATCTCAGTTCTTTTGAAAAAAAGTTATCAGTGTTAGAATATTCGAGATTAAATTTCCCAATTGAGAAATTCGTATACAAACAAAATAATCGAATTTACTTAGAAGAGAGGCTGTAACGGTCGTTACATGCTCTCTGTTGGTGTTTTTGGATCGTGGCGTCAAAGTTAATGCGAATGTCTACTACGAAAAAGTATTGGAAGATGCTCTGAAGCCGTGGACAACCAAACATTACAGTTAGAAAGAGTGGACGTTTTAAAAAGATTCTGCACCATCACACAAAGCACACGAAAACCAACAATAGCTGAGAGACCAGATGCAAATCCGCTCGACTTCTCGGTATGGGTCATTTTACAGGCCAAAGTCAGTACTAAAAAATACCAGAGTGTTAATGTGTTCAATAAAACCCTTCTTCGTGAATAAAGAAAGATTCCGCAGGTTCACATTCGTGCAACCTGCGACTCGTTTGTCGACCAACTTAGAGCTATAGTTCGCGCTAAACGCGGCCATATCAAAAATTTCAAATGAATTCAAAAAAATTAATTGTTTTTCCAACATTTTTTACTTGTGGTTCAATAAAATCCAATTTCAAATAAAAGAAATACAGCGTTCTGAAAAATTGCAGTTCAATTGGGTCATCCTGTATTATTGAAAAATTATTTATTTCTAAACAAAATCGTTCAAATGACTTCACTGCCATTATTATATCCATTAAACTATAATTTTTATTTGAATATTAGTATATAATTATAAACAAAAGAAGTAATACAAAAAAAATCTTAATTTTTCAACAACTAACATTCATTTTTCATGTGAAAATTTGTGTAAAATTATTATAGACATAATACAAAAAAATTCATAAATTTCATAGTTAATGATTTGAAATTTATATTTCAATGGTAATTTATTGTTAATAATTTTGTAAATACGTTAGATTTCAAGATTTCAAATGATTTATTGTTTAGTTTCATAATAACAAATAATTTGTATTCAATAATTAAATGTTTACGTAATTATTTACTTACATTGTTGTTTTATTATTGAATAATAAATTAAATAAATAAAAAGGAAACATCTAGTGAAAAATAATACTTTCAATATTTAATTGACCATTGTATCAGATAATATATGCACACTTAATGTGAGGTCACATGTTAATAGTTTTTTCTATAAAAACGTAATTACTTAACGTAATTAGTAAATAAGTGTTTCTGTATTTTATACAGAATTCAATTACAAATTAATTGAATCTAATTCATAAATCTTATTGTATTTTTATATATTATTGGATTAGTTATGAGTTTTTTTTTAAATATAATTAATATTTTTTTCAATTAAAACAATATTTTTTTTACAAATAATTCAACTTTATATATTTTTTTATTTTAACTCAATTATTTGCTATTAAAATTTATAAAAGTAACATTTAACTTGTATTATATATGGATTTAATTAAATAAAGAATAATTAATTAAGATTTTAAGCGACAAAAAGGTTGTAAAAATGTAATGAATGTTACTCAGAAAATGCAAATTCAAACAATTATGATTATTCTAACTATTCTCAAGTAAATGAAAAGAAAATTAGATTTTTTTTAATCGATATTCAATAAATTAGTTATTAATCTCTATTAAATATAGATTTAATTACATGAAGGTTAATTAAGAGCTGAACTAATTTTAAGTGAAAAAAAGCTTGTAACAATCCAACAAAGTACGTATTATTAAATACAAATTATAATAAACTAGACTATTGTAACTCGGTTTTCCAAGAAAATGAAATTAGGTTTTTTAATAAATATATATATAAAGTTATTATTTTCGTTCTATTTGAGGTCGGTGTCGAAATTTATTGCTCAATATTTGGCCGACCAAATCGAAACTTAATTAATCGCAATAAATTCGCGTCTAATTGGTTTATACGTTTCGCGCAATCAGTTATATCACACACATGCACATTGGTTCCAATTCGGAAATCGCTTCACGAATTCTGCACATAAATTGTATAAATAATTTCAAAATATTTTTTTTTAATAGTAATATAAAAAAAGTAAAAAAAAAATTATAATTAATATCATTTATTAAGCTTTAATTAATTAACCGAATTAGGCACTTATTTAACTAAAAAAATATCGTAATTAGATACTTAAAATAATTCTACAATTAAATTTTATTGAAGCTAAAGCAGTTATAGCAAATTCAATTTTATTGATACAAATCACAGTTATTTCACAAAATAAGTCAGATTTGGGCAGAAAGACCTATGGTCAATAGCCTTTTGTTTTCTTATTACTGTATATGTTTTTTTTAACTGATGCAATCAAAATTATTATTATTATTATTTATTAAGTAAGACTATAATATAGAAATTATGCTTTAATTGAAAAACTGGAGCATTTAGATGAATTGTATCAAATACAAAATAACAATAATTGTATAAAACACAAGAAACTCTATAAATAATGAATATTAATATCAAAATTATGAAAGTTTATTAAAAAAACTAATGTTTTGATGCATTTAGATCAGAATTTTATAGTTTTTTTCTAACCAAATTCTACAAATAAATTGTTAAGTTTATTAAACAAAATTTTATTTTAATTGATAAACTGAAGCATTTGGATGAATTGTATCGAATACAAAATAACAATAATTATATAAAACGCAAGAAACTCTATAAATAATGAATATTAATATCAAAATTATAAAAGTTTATTAAAAAAACTAATGTTTTGATGCATTTAGATCAGACTTTTATAGTTTCGGATCTAAACGAATTATACACATAAATTGTTAAGTTTATTAATCAAAATAATGTTTTTATTGGTAGACTGAACTAATAAGACTTCTACATTTTAGTTATACCAATAAATGTAATAATTGGTAATTCTATCTAACTTTATATTGTTATTCAATTTCTAATGTTAAGAACTTCCTCGAAGTCTTGGACCACCCCAGATCGTAAAGGATATAGTACCATCATCGAAGGTATTCAATTACCTTTACATCGAAACGATCAAATTTCCAAATCCTAATTGCGTTCCAACCATTATGCAAATCGCATTTCGTAAGGGGGAAAAAATAAGTATCACAATTTACGTGATCGACTTTCCTTGACTCAAATCGTTGATTTATTTGGCTCCTTCATAAAATCTAATTTACCTAATTATACGTAATAAATACGAGTGCATCGAATTTCCTCTAATTGCCACCAATATTTTGTTTTTTCATTCTAATTGAAATAACGATTTCAACTAATGTTTCGTAATCAATTTCTTCGCTTTATGCAAGGAAATGAAACCAGAACTGATGAAGCGCTTCAGATTTAGTAATCAATTAAACAATTTCAATGAAAATCATTAATCCAATTAATGTCGTAATTGATTGCTTTATTATTGCGTTTATTTAAATGCATCCAAGTTATCTGGGAATTGCGTATCAGGAGTAAAGTTTACGAGAAACGTTTGTTTCCTGGCAACAAACAAACAAACAAAAATACTTACTAGATCTTCTTTATTGACTACCTGTAGATTAGTAGACGAACCCCGCCTTACTACGATCTTTTTACGGCGCCAAAGAATTTTTTGGTTCTTTGTTTGCTTTTATATACTAATTCATGAAGTCATCTTACAATACAAAATTTCTTCATAAATTGTTTAAAAATTTCTTATTGAAATAAATTAAAAACTATTTAAAAAAAGTAAATTTCATTACGTGATGACTCTTAGATAATCTGTTGCATGTTAAATAATTATATTAGGATTTAATATTGATTTTGAATGTTGTAAGCTTAATGAATAATAATAAATAAATTGTTATTCCGTAAATGATTCAACAGTTATTGTCGCTCTTTGTAATTCAAATATTTGAGAAAATGATGACTTTTATATTAATCGCTAATTTGTTGCTTTCATCTCTTTCCAATGATTTTTTTTTGTATAAATAATTGAACGAATAAATTTCAATTTTTTTTTTCTTAATCAAATTCAATTGGTAATGATATTAGTATTGAAATTATAGAATTAATTAATGTTTGTTGTGAATATGTTAGTTAGTAAATAGTTGATAATATTTTTCAATAAATTAATTCAAAAAATATAAGAAAATCTACTAAATTCATCAGAA